GGTGTTCATTACACGTCTAAGTTAATTTGGAGGCGAAAACATTCCCTACCCCTTTGATAAGTGCTTCCTGTAAGTCTGTGGAACAGAAATTGTTACAAATATTGCATATTGTACTTTTAGATGTTCATAATCGGAGGGAACTGGCTGATTGATATAACCTTGATATAATTAATCCAGGTCCTAAATAGCAGGAAGAAAGGACACTATTTAACAAAGATTTTAAAATAACAGGAAACGCTTGCATACACCATCCTCAAATCAAGGGGAAAATAGTTCTCCAGTTATTAATTATCCACACTGATACTTTAAAAGACAAGTCTAGTGACAAAACATGTACCTTATTACTAAACTTGAACCAGAAGAATAAAGAATTCACCAGTGCCAGATTTAGGTCTGGACATTCTCTAACGTTGACAGTAGAAATTATTACTTCCTACCCCCTCTGATGTCCTGGCATAGTTGACTAGATAATCTTCTGTTCAGCTTGGTAAGACTGAACTGACCTCACTTAGTTCTAATCTGATTGATTCAGTTTTAATTAGGTCACCATTAGGGAAAAAAAAACTTTGCTTTTTGATAAGACCACTCAAAAAAAATTCTAAAGATCTCTTCTTTGACCCTATCTTGTCTTTTGTTGACATCATTCACAAACACGTGTTCGGCTTCGACATGTTTGCAAAGGACATCCAAACATCTCAAAAGTACAGATAAGCAAGGTGCTGATGGGAGGAAAGATTGTGTAACAGTCTCTTTCACAAGGGACAAAATATTTAAAGGCAGACAAGACACCAGGATGGCCTACATCTAAGACTTTGAACAGAAAATTACTTCAGAGGTAATGAAGGCATTGGTCAAAATATTCCGAAACACTCAAGATTCCAGTAGATTGGAAAACCACTAATGTAATGCCCTGTTCAAGAAGGGAGGTGGGAAGAAAGCAGGAAACTATAGGCCATTTAGTCTAATTTCTATCATTGGGAAAATGTTAGAGTTCATTATTAGGGAAGAAACAGCAGGACATTTAGAAAAGCTTAATGCAATCAAACAGAGTCAACGTGATTTCGTGGAAGGGTAATGCCAAAGTTCTTGAGGCATAACAAGTAGAATTGATAAAGAACAGCTGGTAGATGTTGTATGTTTGGATTTCCAGAAGGCATTTGATAAGGTGCTACATAAAAGGCTACTGCATAAAATAGAAACACACATTATCAACAGTAATGTCGTAGCACAAATTGAAGATTGGTTAATACATAGAAACAGAGTCAGAATTAATACTTCAGGTTGGAAAGATGCCACAAGGACCTTGTTTACCATCATAGAATAGAATCATCAAGTACAGAAGAAGCCCTTCAGCCCATCGAGTCTGTACTGCCAAAAATACACTACTAGAATCAGAGTCACACAGCACAGAAACGGACCCTTCAATCCAACCAGTCCATGCCAACTATAATCCCAAACTAAACTAGTCCCATCTGCCTGCACTTGGCCCACATCCCTCCAAACATTTCTTATTCATGTACAGGGCTTTGGTTAGGCGACAGCTGCAATTTAAATGTTTTTTAAATGTTGTAACTGTACCTGCATCCACCACTTCCTCTGGAAGTTGTTTCCATAAACTAACCATTCTCTGCGTTAAAAAAAATTGCACGTCATGTCTTTATTTTAAAAATCTTTCTCCTCTCACTTTAAAATATGCCCCCTAGTCTTGAAAACAGCCACCCGAGGGAAAAAAACACATACCATTCACCTTATCTATATTCTTCATTATATAAACCTCTATAAGGTTATCTTTCAACCTCCTACGCTCCAGTGAAAAAAGTCCCAGCCTATTCAACCTCTCCTTATAACTCAAGCCCTCCATTCCCAGCAACATCCTGTAACTCTGAACCTTCTCTAGCTTAATAATATTCTTTCTATAACAGGGCGAACAGAAGTAGACGCAGTATTCCAGCTGTGGCCTAACCAAAGCTCTGAACAGCTCCAACATGACATCCTTGCTCTTATAATTCAAAACACAACTGGAAGTGTCCCATATGCCTTCTGAGCTACCCTTTTAACTTGTCCTGCCACCTTCCAGGAATCTGTGGACAAACTCCTCAAGATTCTCTGAGCTTCCATTCAATGAGTACTCCCTTTTCTTGTTCCTTCTTCCAAACTGCATCATCTCACACTTATCAGAGTTAAATTCCATCTGCCACTGATCTATCCATCTGACAAATCTGTTCATGTTCTCCTGTAACCTAGCACCTTTATCCTCACTATCAACCACCCAACCAATCTTTGTGCCATCCACAAACTTACCGTATCCCCATGTTCTCATCCATGTCATTCATGAATATCACAAACAGTAAGGGACCCAGCACTGATCGCTGTGTTATGTGACTGCACACTGGGCTCCAGTCACTCTAATAGTCTTCTACCTTCTTGGAGGAGGGGCCTGAGTGAAACATATTCAACTTTGCCCATGATACAAAAATAGGTGCAAGAGTATATTGTGATGAGGACATAAGGAACCTGCAAGGGGATGTAGGCAGGTTTAGTGAGTGGGCAAAAAAACTTGGCAGATGGAATTGAACATAGCAAAGTACGAGGTCATGTACACTGCTAGAAAAAACAAAAAGGCAGATTATTATTTAAATGCAGAGAGACTTCAAGAAGATGCAGCACAAACAAAGGGATCCGACTGTTCTTGTGCATGAAACACAAAGTTAGCATACAGGTCTAGCAAGTAATTCAGAAGGCAGGTGGAATTTTGGTCTTTATTGTTTGGGGTTTGGAGTTTAAAAACAGGGAAGTCTTGTTACAACTGGCATTGGTGAGGCTACACCTGGAGTACTGTATACAGTTTTGGTTCCCATATATAGGAAAGGATTTATTGGCATTGGAGGTAGTTTAAAAGAGATTCACTAGGCTGATTTCTGTGATTAAAGGAATTGACTTATCAAGAATGACTAAATAGGTTAGCTCTTTATTGATTAGAGTTTAGAAGAATGAGAGGTGATCTTATTGAAACATACAACAATCTGAGCAGGCTTGACAGGGTAGAAGTTAAGATCATGTTTCCACTAGTGGCAGAATCTTGAACTAGGTGACATACTTACAAAATAAAAGGTGCACACATTTAAAACTGAGATGTGAAGGAATGTCTTGTCCCAGAGAGTAGTGAAAGACCAGAATTCTCTATACCAGACAGTTTTGGAGGCAAGATCACTGAAAGTATTTAAACAAGGGGATAGATAGATAGAGTTTTGAAATATCAGTGAACTCTATTGAGCTGGCTTGAAAGAGGAGCTCAGACCTGGGGCAGATCAGCCATGAGTTTGGTGAATAGTGGGACAGACTTGAGGGACTGAATGGTCTACTCCTGCTCCTTTTCTTATGTCCTTAATTCTAGCTCTCTACCACTGGGTCTGTTAGTGTTTGCCCCATTCCTAAACCTCTCATTGAACATTTGAAATAATAGTACTCAAATCATTTCTTCGTTCCCGACTATAAATTCTATACCTTTATTTACTACATCATCTTATCTCTGGCCACGCACTAGATCAGATTTTGTAACTTCAGCATCTTGTGTAAACTTTGTTATTCCTACTTTTGGAATGTGAAAGGGCCCAGGTTTCTGTTAAATAAAAGCAAGGTACAGCAGGTGCTAGAGGTCTGAAATAAAAGCACAAAGTGCTGGAGAAACTCAGCCGGTCTGGCAGCATCCAGCTTCTCCAGTACTTTGTTTTCATTTTCATCATGGGTTGCTCTTCATAGGGGTTTTTGGGATGGTTATGCTAATCGATTCACTTCTGTGATCACACTTATACAAATCAGTTTACAACAAACTTGAAATTTCAGTTCCCTAATCTGCATAACTTAATTCCTTGTTTTATAGGATCAAAATGTGAGACGTTAATTTTATGTATAAACAACATTTTTCTGTTAAGATTAAACATAATAAGGTGCATGATATTCAATACCTAATTTTTAAAACACTTACCATGCTAGCCTGTTTTTAGGACCCCCCACAAGTAATTTGGTTTGTGTTTCAGAGATTTACATCGACCGGCTGTGTACCTGTCCTTCAGAGCTACATATTAGAGGAACTCTCTCAACAGATCCTGGTATTGGAAACTCTAGCTGTCATTTGTTGTAAGAAGTCAGGCAATATTAAATCTGTGGAAGAAGGTTTGTATAAAATGACCACAATTATGGACAGTTCACCGAGATTTATCTTGGAACATCGTTCAAAAATTGTTTAGACAGAAAGATTTATATCATGAAAAAAGAAACTCTCCAATGGTTTAGATTCCAGATTGTTTGAAATAACAGGGTAATACATTAGCAGACATAAAATATCAGGGCTACATAGCTTCACTAGAATTGCAGACCAAAGAGATCCTATTTTTAATTTGTAGAGCCAACGCTCTAGACAATTTTATAATTGCTTTGAATGCTCAAAAGTAAACATTTTGTAACATTAAGTACAGTTGTTTAGTATTTGTTGTGGATGTTCACATTAGCTTGTCCATTACTGTATAACATTATTTCCTTTAAATGTCCTTATAAAATATTTACCTTTCATTTTATGAGTTACACTGTAGTTGATCACTTTAAATTCCCTGAATGATTAATTTTTTTTTAAAAGTAGAAATTTCAAATCAATCCATTTGTCTCACCTGGCTTAGCTTCGGTTATACAATTTGGCTCTTCCAGCACAATGCATGTCCTCATTAGATGGAGCAATATCATGATGAATCAATTTAAAAAGTATCTTGCACTTGAGCAGTTTGCATTGTCTTACTTCTGAATTGCTGTTAAGCAAATAGCAACATAATTCTGTGATACTAAAGTTAGATCTCAAAAGCATATTTTGAGTTCTCAGTGTTGTATTTGTTTTAAAAAAGTAAAAATTGATTGTTGTATAAATTACAAGTGATACTTGTAAAAATGACTTTATTGCTGAAAATATTCCATCAATCATCCTTAGATTTAATGCAGTATATAAATGCAAATCTTCAGAATCATGGGGTACAGAAGACACCATTCAGCCCATCAGCCCTGCACTGACAAAAACTACTTTAAATCTACAGTGGTCTGACCCTTAGCACTTTTCCCATAGCTTTTGATGTTATGACACATTTCAAGTACTCATCCAAGTATCTTTTAAAGTTGTAAAGTTACCTACCTCAACTACTGTCACAGGCAGTGCATTCCGGATTCCCACCACAATCTGGGTGAAAAAGAAATCCTCAAATTCCCTCTAAATCTTTCACCTTAAAATTATGCCCCAACGCACTGAACCTCCACTAAGGAGAACAGCTGCTTCCTTTCCACCCTGTCCATGCCATCTCAATCTTACACACCTCACTCAGGTCCCTTCTCAGGCTTCTTTGCTCTAAAGAAAACAACCCAAGAAGAGTCCCGACCTGAAACGTCAGCTTTCCTGTTCCTCTGATGCTGCCTGGCCTGCTGTGATCTTCCAGCTTCATGCTGTGTTATCGCAGACTCCAGCATAAGCAGTTCTTACTATGTCCGAGCTTCTGCAGCCTCTCTTGAGCTAAACTGCTCCATCCCAGCCAACATCCTGGTCAGTCTCCTTTGCAATCCCTTAAGTGCAATTACTGTCTTCCTGATCACTGATGACTAGAACTATACACAGTACTCCAGTTGGAGTGAGCCTAATCAAAGTTTTGCACAGCACAAACATGACCTCACTGTTCTTATAATCTATGCCACTACTGATAAAGATGTGTACCGTATGTCATCTTAACTACCATATTAACCTGGCTTACCACCTTCAGGGATCTGTGGACAAACACACCCTGTTCCTCTGAGCTTCCTAGTGTCCTGCCATTCATTGGATAAAGTACTCCCTTTTTTTGTTACTTCTTCCATAGTGCATCACCTCATACTTATCAGGGTTAAATTTCATCTGCCACTGATCAGCCCTTCTGACCAATCCATCTATATTATTCTGCAACGTAAGACCTTCTTCCTCACAGCCAATCACATGACCAATCTTACTTGTCATGCGTAAACTTTCTCATCAACCCCCAGCATGCTCATCTATATTATTTATATATATCATGAACAATCAAGAGACCTTCTAATTCACCATTGGACTCCAGCCTCTAATCCCACAAACAACCTTCTACCACTACCCTCCGTTTCCTAACACAAAACCATGTAAGGATTCATCTTGCCAAGGTACCCTGGTTCCCATATGCTTTTATCTTCTTTATCAGGTCTCCCATGTGGGAGCTTGTCAAGGCCTTGCTAAAATCCATGCAAGCTGCATCAACTGCACTATCTTCATTTACACACCAGATCACCTCCTTGAAAAATTCAAATTGAATTTGATTGACTTTCTCAGAAGGAGGTTGTCATGCTGACTCTCCCTGATCAAACTTTGCATCTCCAAGTGGAGATTAATTCTCTCCTTCAGAATTTTCTCCAAATTTCTCAACCACTTACAAAAGACTCACTGTTCTGTAATTTCCTGATTTTTCTTTCAAGCCCTTCTTGAAAAGTGGAATCACATTAGGTGTCCTGCAGTCCTCTGGCAACTCCTGTGGCCAGAGAGGAATTAAAGCTTTGTGTCAAAGCCCCTGTAATTCTCTCCCTTGTCTTTCACTGTACAACTCCACTTTGTCCACTTTTAAGCCTGCCAAAACCTCTTCACACTCTACATCAAACAACTGAAGAATTTCTGTCCCACTTCCTAAAATCTGTACTTACCTCTTTCTTCTCCAAAGTGCAGTCAAAAGTGAAGTCCCTGTTTAACACCCTACCAATGTCCTTTGACTCCATGCTTTATGTTGAGCCTTTGGTCCCCAGTGCCCTACCCTTTCCCTGGTTATTCTCCTCTTAATCCTTGATGCATTTATAGAATATCTTGGGATTCACCCTGCCAGTAGATTTTTTCATGCACCCTCTTTGCTCTCCGAATTGCTCTCTTCAGTTTCCCCCTGCACTTTCTGTACTCCACCAGGGCCAGCATTGATTTGCTCCCTTTGCATGTGTTAAAAGCCTCCCTTTTCCTTCTTATTCATAACTGAATATGCCTAGATATCCAGGATTCTCTGGGCTTGTTTCTCCTCCAGTTCACCCAAAAGGACACATGTTGGCTCTGTACTCTCGCTGATTCCAAGGCTTCCACCTCACCCTTCATTGTTCTGCTATAGATTTACCTAGAGGTAATTGTTCCCAATCTGCTTTGACTAGATCCTAGCAAATGAATAATTTAATAAAATCTGCCTTCTCCCAATCCAAAACCCTATTTTGCAAACCAATTTTTTTCCTGTTCCATAACACACTTAAAGTGTCAGTACTAAATAAAAACCAAAAGAACTGCGGATGCTGTGAATCAGGAACAAAAACAAAGTTGCTGGAAAAGCTCAGGAGGTCTGGCAGCATCTGAGAAGGAAAAAACAGAGTTAACGTTTCGGGTCCAGTGACCCTTCCTCAGAACTGGGGACCCGAAACGTTAACTCTGTTTTCTCCTTCACAGATGCTGCCAGACCTGCTGAGCTTCTCCAGCAACTTTGTTTTTGTTAAAATGTATTGAGTTGTGGGTGCTATCACTAAAATACTCTCCCTATGCCACCTTGAACATCTTTCAGTTTATTCAACAGAATTAGGTCCAGCACTGCACTGTCCTTTGTTGGATCTTCGACACGCTAACATAAAAATCTCTCGAATAGATTTCAGTCCGCTCAAAACCCTTTACAGAATGATTATCCCAATTAATGCTAGAAAAGTTGAAATCCCCTAATATAATTACTGTATTAGTGTTTTTTAACACCTCAGTGATTTGTCTACATATCTATTCCTTTAATGTCTGCTGGCTGTTTGGGAGTCCACAATACACTTCCAGCAATGTGACTGCCCCCTTTTTATTCTAACTCTACTCTCTAAGCCTCATTTGAAGACCCCTCCAAGATGCTGTCACTCCTTACCACAGTAACTGACTCCTTAATTAATAATACAACAAGGCCTCTTCTTTTACACCCTTCCTTGTCCTGCCTGAACATTCATACCTCAGATCATTGAATTGCCGATCCAGTTCTCCCTCAACCACATGTCTTTGATGGCAACAACATTGACATGTGAATTTGCAATGCACCCATGCTGTTAACTCATCTGTCTTACCTATAATACTGAGCATTGGAGGCTATCCAGTATCAGTTTACTCCCTTGAAACTCAACAAGGCTGAACCTCCTTTGTCTTGGTTCATTTACTGAAGTATGCTGTGTCCCTGTTATACTAACACTGTCTCCCCTCCCCCTACCAAACTGCTTTATTTTTGTTGGGGGTTGGTTGGTTTCCTGGGTCAACACCAGAATGGTAGTTTTTGTTGGGCACCTTATGTAGGTGGGCAGCAGTCCAGGATGACTCACATAATTGCCCTATTATCATTACCTATGGGGAAATCCTTGGCATCTGGCTCTTTGTTGACAAATCTCAGCTGAGATTTTGTGGGTACAGTTTGTGCTACTGCATATCAGGGCAGCAACACTTGCAATCTTTAGATTTTTTTTCTATAAAAGGGTTTGAAAATGTGATACGTTACAAGAACATTTAGAATTACAAATGCTTGAGGTTTAACACAAAACTGCAAATGATTAGTCTTATTTATTATAGTCACTGTAGCCAAGTGGCACCAGAACACCATGACACAAGAATGAAAGCAAATCATGTGCTTTCAATAACTGTGGAATGCTAAGCTCCATAAATCTAAAATGGTACAAGAAGTATCAAGTTCGATATCTGTTGCCTATGTTATGGACCAGTCCAACCCCACTCCCTCAAAATATATTAAGGTGATAGCTTTAAAATAAGAAAAAGTTAGGATCGATACTAAGTGTAAGGCATTGTGTTACGGATGCAATTCGATTGGTCAAATTACCAGGCTTGAATCAAACACTATTTATTCATACACTCTAATTAAAATACAGACAAAATAAAAAAGAAAATTGGCTTAACTATAAATCTATCGAAATGCTTAACAACATTGTATATATAAACTATTAATTAACTGTTCCAATATACTAACATTCCATAAACACACCCTTGACAAAGACAATTTCAGTAAAATAGATTGTCTCACATGCAATTCTAGCAGCAGGAAGAGACCCCAGCTTTTAGGCGTAACAAAGAGAAAATAAGAACTTCCACATTCAGCTTCGAGACTCCAACAACTGCTACTGAAGGCTAAAACTAAAAGAAAAACCCTGGTTCTGTGGGAGCTTGACCTTACCCATTCAGGCTGCTTCTATTGTTACAACTTTAAAAATAAACTCAAGGCCTCACAAGCTGTTTACTTTATTGGCTTTGGACAGACGGCTCATCACCTACCTCAACCCTTTTATTGTATAAAAAAAAGGACAAAATACACCTCTTAAAGCCATCGTACTGTCACACCTACTAAAATTGAATTCATTGAATGTAGCTTTGTGAAAATATGTTGTTGTCTCGATCCTATATATGTTTTCTTCAAAAAAATTCACCACTGATTTTTCACTCCCTTTAAAAGCCCTGTTGCTTGATGACTCATCCATAATTGGTCTTGATCACTTCAACACTAACTAAACTTGAAATACTTCAATAACTAAAAGAAAATAAATTAAGACCAATTCAGTAAACTGCACTTGACAAAGATTTTCAAATATGTATGAGCATATGATATATGGATTCTAGGAGCTCATTGTTCAACTTTGCTCTCCCTTTACTAACAATCAATGGAACTTTCATTTGCATATTTATAAATACAGCCCATTTGATCAACTTAGAATCATTGACAATGTAATTCTTTAAATAATGTGTGCATGTAGAAATGGTATGTGGTAGATTTAATCTGGGAAACATTCCAGGACATAGGACTTTACTGTATTAAGTTCATTATTAAGAGCGGAAATTCCTGTGAGACATGGTATTCAAAGGAAGATGTTGATGCGTTATGAATTTTTTTAAAAGAAAGACTGTTTCATTGTGATCCAGTAACTACTATAGTATAATAAGATGATAGCAGTATTTAAAATTTCTCTCAGAACTTCTTTTAATATAATTGCATTTTATCATTTTTACTTTCAGTTATTCCAAAATCAAAGATGGGGAAATCTGTCCAGTCATTCTGGAGTAAATGCACAGGGATAGACAGTGTACTATACTCATCAGCTGAGAGGTTCCTGGCACAACTAAGAAGTTGTTACACACAGAAAGTGGCTGCAAGGCACCCAGGACAGACCGAAAGAGGTAAGCTATGCTTGTAGTTGTTTTTACAGGATTGTCTGGAGTCAAATTTCTTAAAATTTGTTCATGGGATTTATTACCGAACCCTATTGGCCAGGGGTAGTTAAAAGTCAATTATAGTGTTGTGGGTCTGGAGTCACAGGAGGGCAGACCAGGCAATGATGGCAGATATGCTTTGCTAAAAGGAGATTAGTGAACTGGATGGGTCTTCATGACAATTGACAGCAGTTAAGAGTTCTTGTTGGGTTAGCCTTTTATTTCAGTTTTTTTTTTAAATTGAATTCAAATTTCACTATCATGATAAGATTCAATTCCTTGTCCTCAGGACATTAGCCTGATGTTCTTGGTTACTAGTCCAGTGATATTATCACCGTGCCACTTTGTCCCATACATACATATAAAAATATCCATTATGCAACAGTTACTACAACCCAAGATAGTATGACGATTGTGCTAATAATTACCTTAAATTAACTTTAGCATGTAATTACATCAAGATATATCTTTTAAAACTTGCTTAAATTTATTAATAGCAGTTGGCTGACATGTGGCCTATGGGAATTATATAAGTTTCAAATTTAAAGTTCGCTGAATTATCCACATCATGCAACTAATACACCCAATCATTTATCACTTCCCCTAATCAGGCCCTTGATTGAGTCAGTCAATTTATAATTCATAATTCTCACAGAAGAACAAAATCAAAAGCAAATTAATGTTTAAAATACTTTCTTCCGTTTGCTTTTGAAAAAAAATTATGGGAATTTCAATCAAGTCACCACTCACTCTTCTGAATTCCTGTGAAAATAAGCCCAGCCTGTCCAATTTATCCTCATAAGTTAATCTAATCATTTCAAAATACTAATCTAGTAAACCTCTGAGCTGCCTTCAACGCAATTACATCCTTCCTTAAATAAAAAGATGAAAACTGTACAAGTATTTGACATGTGGTCTCACCGACACCCTATATAACTGAAGCACAGCCTCCTCACTTTTATGTTCAATTCCTCTTGAAAAAAAAGATAACATCCCACAAGCCTTCTTGATTATGCTGTACCTGCATACTAACCTTTTGCGACTCATGCACTGGAACACCTAAATCCCTCTGCACCTCAGAATTCTGCAGCCATTCTCCATTTAAATAATAATCTGTTTTATTACTGTTCTCGCCAAAATGGAGGACTCATCTTCCCACATGACACTATCTTCTACATTTCAACCCACTCACTCAACCTATTCGTAGGTGTCTGCAACTTCCATGTGTCTTCTTCACAACATATTTTCCTACCTGTCTTGGTGATATCTTCAAATTTAACCACCACAACTTCACTCTCCTTAACGAAGTCATTTAAGTAAATTGTAAAAATTTGAGATCCCAACATAGATGAGTATGGCACTCCATTGCTAATATTCTGCCATTCAAACGAATACCCATTTATGTACACTCTGTTTTCAGTCAGTCAGTTAGCGAATCTCCTATCCATGCACATATGTTACTCCTATTATCATGAGCTTTTATTTTTCACAATAATCTTTAATGTGGCACCTTATCAAAAGACTTATGGAAATCCAAGTACAGTACATCTACAGGTTCTCTTTATCTACAGCACGTTATTCCTTCAACCATCTCCAATAAATAGGTTAGGCATGATTTCCTTTCAACAAAACTGTGCTGACTCTTTCCAATTACCTTGAGTGTTTCTTTAAAAAAATGCAGTGCTATAATCTTTACTTCCCCATCACAGGCACAAAGCTAACAGGCCTATAATTCCCCATTTCCTGTCTCCCACCCTTCTTGAATAGAGGGGTTAAATTTGTGACTTTTGAATCTGATTGAACATTTGTGAATTTTGGAAAATGAATTCCAGCTGATTCACTAACTTATTAGTCACCTTTTATAGGGCCCAAGGATGAAGTCAAGCTGGACCTGGAGAATTGTCAGTGTGTAGCTCTACCAGTTTGCTTAGTCTCACTTCTTTTAGGATTAGAAATCTAGTGGAATTACTTCTCCCTTTCACCTAATGATTTATGGCTATTACTGGAATGTATTTTGTATCCTCTATTGTGAAGACAGACACAAAACTGCCATTTCCTTCCGATAGACAATTGACGTCATGCTCAAATCGAGGACCAAAAACTCACTGGACTTCTTTCCTTCCCGATTTGTAGAATTACTTGTTATCTGTTTTATACTCCCAGCTAGCTTCCTCTCATAGGCTAATTTCTTCCTTCTGATTAATCTTTTAGTCAATCTCTTTCTTTTTTAATATTCTGACTAAACATCTGACCTACTACTCACTTTCACAGTTTTTATTTTACTTAAGACTAATACTTTCCTTAACTTCTTTAATTAATCTTGGATTGTAGATCCTTTCTTTAAAAATTGTCTTTAAATTAATACCATACCTATTTTGAGTATTAGGAATTATCCCTTAAATATCTGCCACTGTGCCCATTGACCTTTCACCTAGCTTAATATGTCAGTTCATTTCAGCTAACTCAACTTTCATATCCATATTGTTGCACATATGTTTAAGCCACTAGACTTGGACCCAATCTTCTCCCTTCAAACTGGACAAAAAATGTAATCATATTATGGTCACTGCAACTAGGAGTGCCTTTATTCTAGGGTAATTAATCCTGTCACATCACACCATACAAAGTCCAATGTCATCTGCTTTCTGGACATTTCCAAATGTGTGGCTTAAAGAAACTCTCAAAAGCATTTTATGAACTACTCAACCAGGCTACTACTGCCAATCTGATTTTTTGAACTTGTATGCAAATTAAAGTAATTTATGTCTTATGATGTATTGAAGTCACAATTATTGCCATCCCTTTATTACAAACACTCCGTATATCATCTTGTGAATTTTGTCCCACGTTGTGATTAGTTAGGGCTCCTGTGGACCACTACAACTGGTAACTTCCTTCCCCTTCTATTCCTCATTTCCGTTCTAACTGATTCTACATCTGATCTCCTGAACCAACGTCATCTCAGAAATACAAATGCCATCTTTAATTAACATTGCTACCCCTCCACTTTTACTAGCTTCCTATTTTGCGTGAATGTCAAATATCTCCAATATTCAGGACTGATTCCTTTTCATCCTGCAAACATGTCTTCATACCAATTATCAGATAGTATTTATTTACTTCCACGTATGCTATGAATTTGCTACTTTGTTATGAATGCTACACACGTTCAGATAGAGAACCTTTTATTTTAGTCTTCTTAACAGGTAGTCTTGTTTCATTGTGTATTCTTAGCAATTTCTTATTCATCATCATGCCATTCTTGCACCCTCATTTCACATTTTACTAATCTATTCTCTTTAAATCAAAATTGATGAGCTTAACTTTAAATTGCGCTGGAATCTACCTGTTACAGTTCTACTCCTCAGTTCAACTTTTTATTAATGTCTTCGCCATTTCTGTCTATACTATCTACAATGCCATAAATCCTTTGAGACATTTACAAATTTGATATATGTCCCTTCATTGCAATGATGCAGAAAAGACTGCAAATATTCAGAACAGGCAGCAAATCTGGAGAGAGAAAAATACAATTAACCTTCCGTCAGGTCATTAACCCAAAATGTTAACTGTTTCTATTTTGATAGCTGCTGTCTCACCCGCTGACTATTGCCAGCATGTTGTTTATATTTGAAAATTTTCAGTATCTTTATATTTTTTTCTGAGGCCTTTATTGGTGGCTTAGAAATGCTAAGAATGAAAACTTGAGCCTGTACTATGAAGTATGTGTGCTCATTTTTGCTCCTAAATCCATGACAATTTAAAGAAAAATTCTGTCACAGTTCAATTACTCAAAATTCTTGTAACAAAATAAATAGTATAGAAGATTATTGCATTACATTCTTAGAAATGGTTAGAAATTAGAGCCAAGGTTTAGCTAACTACGTCACTCAGCTGTATTCGGGAAAATAAAGCAACTGCTCATCTTGGATTTGAGAAATTCAAAGATAAGATACATAAAAGCAAGCCAGTACACATTGAAGAGACTCATGCACGAATTAACCTGCCTTTTCTCATTCAACAATGACTAACTTGTTATGTATTCTTAGAATGTTATGAAGTTCTTTTCATCAAAAGTTTATAGTGGGGGAAAGCACGGTAGTTACATATTTTAGAATGTGATGTGCCGTTATCTTTGGTTCAACAAAAACCTATGTTGAAATATGAAACAATGTGTCCTTCTGATGGCCGTGGGAGTAAACTACAAAAGTGACAACAGCCAAAAACAGCTATTATGTTACAAAGCAGAAAATATACTATTTAGTAAGACTGTGCAGTTGTTAAAGTTGATTGTTAACTTGACAGATTTATGCCAGAGTCAAATAACATTAAGTAAAATTTTGAGGCCACACGTTCTATAGAAACTAAACTTAAAAAAAAAATCAACATTATAATGTGTCATAGTGGATTGGTCTAGTGTGGATAACTAAATTGTGTCACTTGAAGAGGAAATAAATTACCAAGTTCTGTAATTACTTTAAAGCTTCTACTTGTACACAAATCATACTTGCCTGTGGTTATAAATTGTCTTCCTTCAACGTGTGGCTGAGCTCATGAACCCTGTTAAACCAGAAGCTTGTACAAATTGCCTAGTATCAAAGACCATAGGTTATAAAAAAACAGAGAGAGTCAGGCGATTGTCTTCAGACAACTCAGAACAGTATAGCACAGGAACAGGGCTTTTGGCTGTGCTGATTATGATGCCATTGTAAACTAACCCCATCTGCCTGCACATAGTCCATTTCCCTTTATTCTCGGTCTATTCACATGGCTGTCTAAATACCTCTTAAACCTAGCAGTGTGTTCCAGGCACCTACCACCCATGTAAAAAAAAAACTTTTCTCAAGCATCTCCTTTAAATTTAGACAAGACAAGACAAGACAAGAACTAGGAGCAGGAGTAGGCCGTCTGGCCCTTCGAGCCTGCTCCGCCATTCAATAAGATCATGGCTGATCCTTTCGTGGACTCAGATCCACTTACCCGCGTTCTCACCGTATCCCTTAATTCCTTTATTGTTCAAAAAAAATCTACCTTTTTTTTTAAAAAGCGTTTACTGAAGTAGCGTCAACTACTTCACTGGGCAAGGAATTCCATAGATTAACAACCCTCTGGGTGAAGAAATTCCTTCTCAGTTCAGTCCTAAATCTGCTCCCTCTAATCTTGAGGCTATGCCCTCTTGTCCTACCTTCACCTGCTGGTGGAAACATCCTCTCTACTTCTATCTTATCTATTCCCTTCATAATTTTATATGTTTCTATAAGATCCCCCCTCAATCTTCTGAATTCCAATGAATATAATCCCAATCTACTCAGTCTCTCCTCATAAGCCAACCCCCTCAACTCCGGAATCAACCTAGTGAACCCTCCTTTGCACCCCCTCCAGTGCCAGTACATCCTTTCTCAAGTAAGGAGACCAAAACTGCACACAGTACTCCAGGTGTGGCCTCACCAGCACCTTGTACAGCTGCAACATAACCTCTCTGCTTTTTATTTCAATCCCTTTAGCAATGAAGGACAAAATTCCATTTGCCTTCCTAATTACTTGTTGTCACTTTCAACCAATGTGCCCTTGTATTTGACATTTCCACCCTGGGAAAAAGACTGACTATCCATCCAATCCATGCCTCAATTTTATATACCATCAGATCACCCCTTAGCCTCCAACATGAAAACAATCTGAGTTTGTGCAACCTCACCCTACTACAGTTGGCCTAACTAGTTTTATACAGCTGCAACATGACTTTTGCCAACATTTATACACCTGACTAATGAAAACAAGCATGTAGCATGCCTTCTTTACCACCTTATCCACTTATGTTGCGACTTTCAGGGAACCATGGACTTGGATTCTAAGAACCCTTTGTATATCAATGCTCCTAAGGGTTCTGCCATTAACTGTACACTTTTCCCTTGCAGATGACCTTCCAAAGATGCTTCACGTCAATCTAGTCTAGATTAATTTCCATCTGACATTTCTTTGCCTGACTTTCCAACTGATCTATATCCTGCTGTATCCTTTGACAACCTTCCTTACTATCCACAACTCTACCAATTTTCATGCTGTCTGCAAACTTTCTAATCAGCCCACCTACATTTTCACCCAAATCATTTATATATTTATTACAAGCAACAGAGGTCTCAGCATTGATCCTTGTGGAACACTAATGGTCACAGTACTTCAGTCAGAAAAACTGTTCCACCACCACCGCCGCTACTCCCCACCCCTTAATCTCCATAATCCTACTTGCCAAGAACATATCATGGTGCCTTTAGGCTCTCCTAATTCCTGATTAAGTTCTTTCCTGCTTCCTTTACAGTCTTCAAGGGCCTTGTCTCATTTCAGTTTCCTAAACCGTGCTTCCTTTTTCATCAAACTTTCAATGTGTCTTATCATCCAAGGTTGTCAAACCTTCCCATCCTTACCTTTCATCCTCATAGGAAATGGGGTAGATATTAAATGAATATTTAGCATTAGTATTTACTCTGGAGAAATAAATGAAAGCTAGAGAACTTGGGGAAATAAATAGTGATGTTTTAAAAGGGGTTCATATTACAGAAGAGGAGGGGCTGGAGGTGTTAAAACATATTACGGCAGATAAATCCCTAAGACTTGATCAGGCATTTCCCAGAGCCTCATGACTCCGAAATGTCAGATGCAGATTTACCCTTAACTGTTGCCCTCAAACTAATTTCTCCAGTTCCTGCCTAATACTATTGTAATTATCCTTCCCCACCACAAACTTCAATCGGTGGCCAGGCTCACTCCCCAGTACAAGGTCTAGTACAGCCCGTTCCCTAGTTGGACTATCTACATATTGTTTCAGGAAGCCCTCCTAGATGTACCTAACAAATAGCACCTACAGTTGGATGCCACTCACCCAGTAAATTGCTATCAGTTGAATCCTTTTTCACAGCTGATCCTAAATACATTTTTAACTGATCTTACATGGTCAAAGAACTCATCTCAATAACAGTCTGATTAGAATCTTTAAATGTTTACAATTTTCATGTTTTTGTAAGTATTCAGAACACTTCTGTACCAGATTATCAGCTGTTGCGAATTACTGCTGTGTCCTAATGTCTCAGAGGAAATAGTGACAATCTTCCAGTTTTTCAACTATGTGAAGAAGTACAATATTACTCAGCTGGGGACACACCTGACCAGACTTGCAAAGGAAGGTATGAGTAAAAAAAGCTATTTGCTTGCATTGAAATTTGAGTATGCAGTCATTGATTTAGCAGAAAATTTATGATCTGATGTATTCATGTTTGATCTACAAGAGTTTTAGTTATGTTGTTGTGTGTCAAACAGATTTCAGTGATTGAGATTAAGTTTAAACATACCATAGCCATCACAGCTCAAAGCATTGTTGAATTGGTTCTGCATTCCTGATCTAATATTATTCAATGTTAATATTTTGATACTTTTTATACAATTCCATCCCTACACATGCTTTTATCCGTCTCTTAGATTGGTGATCCAGGTGCAAATTGTGCCAGTTTTGAGAGGTATTTCTGCTCAGTCCATTACATTTCGTCAAACTCAAAATATCCCAGAAGCCAACACATTCAGGACAGCATTTTCGAACATACTTCAACTGTTTTCTTTCAAAACTGTTCCTTTATATTTAAATGGCATAGAGTGAGGTCATTCAGACCTTCAAGTCCACACTGACTCCCCAAGGAACAATCCAATTAGTCCCTCTCTCGTTATATTCACATAGCTCTGTAACTCTAACTTTATTTACCTTGAATACCTAACCAATTTCCTTTTGAAATGATTGATCCTTTCTGCTTCTACCATCATCATTTGCATTTTTTGCCCAAAATCTTAAAGCTGTCTCTCCTGGTCCTTAAGGAGCAAAAGTTAACTGGATCAACCATGGAATGGGAACAGCTTTGTTTGTACCTTGCCTAAACCTATCATCATCTTACACGCCTCTCACAGATCTGTCTGCAATCTCCTTTATTCCAAGGAGAACAAATTCATGTTCTGTACATTAAAATAGTATCTAAAATTCCTCATTCTTGGAACCACTCTTGTAAATCTTCAATGACTCTTCATGGACCCTCACTTTCTTCCACACGTGAGGTGCCCAGAACTGGACGTAATACTGTAGTTATGCCCAAACCAGAAATTTATAAAGGCTCAACATATCCTTCCTACTTTTTGAGTCAATATCTCTATTATTCAATTTGTCCAACCTTCACACAAGGAATCAGACATTCAGCCTTTGGCTACCTATCTGAATATTTCCTTCCTTGTCTTGGCTTTTTTTTTCTAATTACACATCAGTGAGGTGTCTTGGAAAATATTTCTGTGCTAAGGTTCCATGTTATTGGAAGTTATCATTGTAAATGATATGAGAAGAGCAGAAGCAATAGGAAACAGGACTGGCATTAAAACTGCTGAGAAAGGGCAAGGAAAGGATGGTAGTGAATTGATAGAAGACAGGTTTGTTTTTCTTGATTTTTAAAATTTCTTAACAGAAGATGGAATGAATCACTTATCAAAAAGAAAGACACTACCCAATGATGAGATCAAAATGCTGACTTCAAGCTCTTCTCAGCAAAACCAGGATATAATCAATGATTAGTAAATGTCTATCCCCTTAATAGCCTTATTGTTCAATGTGAATGATTCATAGGAGTTTGAATATAATTCAAATTTCTACACATAAATAACAGTAAATATAAAAGCACAAGTCCCATAATGGCTAGAAATAAATAGTGTGGGCGATGGTCACAGGATTCACATGAAGGGAGAATTGGATAGTTAAAATGAAAGAACAAAGCAATAATTTTCTTAGAAGGTCCTGTTATGAGTAATGGAAGCCAGGGTCTTACAGGAAGGCATAAAGCATACAAGCCAAAGAATTGATCAGCAAATTAGCTTAGAGTAGGAAAAGATGGTAAAAAGGTAGATTTTGACATTCGTGCCACACAAGTGTCAGGCAATGACCATCCCCAACAAAAAAAAAGATAGAATGTAACCATCACCCTCTTGATACTGACGAGAAACTGAACTAGACTAGCCAAAAGTCCTATGACTACGTGTGCAGGTCAGAAGCCAGGAATGCTGCTGTGAGTAACACAACACCTGACTCCCTAAAGCCTGCTACCATCCAAAAGGCAAAACTTAGGAGTGTGATGGAATATTCCCCACTTTCCTGAATGAATCAGCTCCAACAATACAAGAATCTTGACATCATTCAGGACAAAGTAGCCCACTTGATTGGCACAAGATCCACATTTACCCCCTCAACCAGCAGTGGGTAGCATGTACAAGATTCACCAAGGCTCCTTAGACTTCAACATGACCACTACCATTTAAACAGAAGAAAGTGACAAATAGGAACACTGTCAGCTGCAAGTTCACCTGCAAGCTACTCACCATCCCGATTTGGAAACCTATCACTGTTCCTGCTGTGTCACGGAGTCAAAATCCTGGTTGCTCTGTTGTTAATGCAGGGGCTGAGGATTATCATCATCAACATCACCTTCAGGTGTAGTTGTGGTTGCAGGTGTAGGGTGAAAAATAGTTAATGCAGAAGTGGATGGCTGTGGTTCATTGTCTTCAGATTCTTTCAGCACTAATATTGCACATATTCAGGACAAAGCCCGCAAAACGATGATGCAATGTTGCACATACTCTTCGTGCACTGTTGGAATCATGTTATAGCCAACACAAGTTCATGTTTTAGAAATAGCATTCCCCTATTCATCAATTGTGTTATAGCCAATTCACGTTGCTGGAACACACGTTATAGCAGAACCGAATGCAGTAAGAAAAGATCTTGGTTCAGAAGATCAGGATATAGAATAAGTTTGGGTGCAGATTAAAAAAAGGACGTCACTGGTGGAAGTAGTTTACAGTCTGCCCGACAATAGCTGCAGAGTGAAAATGAGTATAAATGTGCCACAAAGATTGGTGCTGGGTCCACTGCTTTTCATCATTTATATGAATGATTTGCATGTGAACACAAGAGGTATGGTTAGTAAGTTTGCAGATGATACCAAAATTGGAGATGTAGTGGACAGCGAAGAAAGTTATCTCAGAGTATAACACAACCTTGATCGGATGGGCTGATGGACCGAGGAGTGGCAGATGGAGTTTAAATTAGATAAATGTGAGGGGCTACATTTTGGAAAGGCAAGGTCTTGGAGAGTGTTGGTGAACAAAGAGAGCTTGGAGTGCAGGTTCATAGTTCCTTGAAAGTGGAGTCGCAGGTGGACAGGATAGTGAAGAAGGCATTTGGTATGCTTGCCTTTATTGGTCAGTACATTGAGTATAAGAGTTGGGAGATCATGTTGCAGTTGTACAGGGCATTGGTAAGGCCACTTTTGGAACACTACATTCAATTCTGGTCTCCTTGCTGTAGGATGGATGTTGTGAAAGTCGAAAAGGTTCAGAAAAGATTTACAAGGAAGTTGCCAGGGTTGACGGGTTTGAGCTATAAAGGAGAGGCTGAATAGGCTGGGTCTAATTTCCCCGGCGCATTGGAGGCTGAGGGGTGACCTGATAGAAGTTTATAAAATCATGAGGGACGTGGATAGGTGAATAGCCAAGGCCTTTTCCCTGGGGTGGGGAAGTGCAAAACTAGAGGGCATAGATTTAAGGTGAGAGGGGAAAGATTTAAAAGGGACCTAATAGGCAACATTTTCCACAGAGGGTGGTGTGTGTACGGAATGAGCTGCCAGAGGAAGTGCTGGAGACTGGTACAATTACAACGTTTAAAAGGCATCTGAATGGGTATAAGAATAGGAAGGGTTTACAACAACATGGCCCAAATGCTGGCAAATGGGACTAGATTAATTTAGGATATCTGGTCGGCATGGATGAGTCAGATCGAAGAGTCTGGTTTCATGCTGAACAGCTCTCTGACTCTAAATCAATAGATAACAGGAGTTTGAAAGATAGTGCAATATTTGTATGTTTTTAATCTTCAGATAATTGGATGAAGCAAATTAACAAAGATATTCTGGAGGATGACTTTATAGAGAATATTTAGGACAGCTACTTGGAACAATGCAGTCTGGAACCAACCATGGAACATGTTATATTGGACTGATTGATGTGCAAAGAGAGAGAGTTGATTACTGACCTTGATAAATAATCCAGGCACAAGTGATCATAACATGACAAAATTTTACATTCAGTTGTACGGTGAGAAATGTGGGTCTAAAATGAGTGAATAAAAAAAAAGCTTCTCATTGACGCAGAGATAGGAGAAATCTTTTCTCTTAGAGAGTCATCAGACTTTGAAATTCTCTTTCCCAAACAACATAGAAGAAGCTGGTTATTTGGTACATTCAAAATTGATTTGGACAGATTTTTGATTTATGCAGGAATCATTGGTTATGAGAATCAAGTAAGAAAGTCGAGTTTAGGCCGCAATCAGATTTGCCATGATCTGATTAAATGATGGAGTAGACTCAAGGAGCTGAATGGCCTGTACCTGTTCCTATTTATCATTGCAGAAACCACATGGAAAATGAACATTTCTTAAAAAAAACTTTTAAAAAATAGGATACAAAAGGGCTAAGAAGAATAACCTGAATTATGCATTTTTGAACTTGTTTTTTTAACTGTTTATGTTGCCTTATTTAAATTTTTTTTTACTCTTTACATTTTTAGTATTTCTCCCTGAAGCACTACAGACTACACAGAAGATGAAGACACTGAAAAAGTTAAAAGAAAAGTTAGTTTCTGAGCTTCAACCTCTGCACCAAACCTTGCAGTCAATTTGCATTCTTCAATTAGATGAGAACCCCAAGATTGCACAAACTGTAACCTCATTCTTTCGCAGTGCTTCAGCAAATAACAATTTTAGAGCAAAGGTAAGCAATGATGGTTCTAATGGAGATTTTAAGAAGGACCAAAATATACAATTTGTTGTATTTTAGCCTGACTTGAATAATGTAAACAAGCTAACCGGTACTGAAAGTAATTAATAACCTTTAGTTTTGATAATATACAGTGACAGAATGAAAATTGTGTGAAAAAGGCACAAACAGTTTTATGTACAAAATATACCTATTTACATATTGAAAATCAGCAAGTTTAAATACAGGATAAAAGCATGAATTCCACAGATATTTATTAGAAAACTGTAATTTTCCTACATTTCAACAGCCTACATTTCAAAAAGTTAGTTAATTGGATGAAAAGCAGCTTGAGATAACTGTTGATTGTGAAATGCACAACGTAAATGTAAGTCTTTCTTTTTTAAGTAAGCCACATTGAAGGAATTTATTTACAAAATGAGATAATGAAACAGAAAAACAGGAGAAAAAAAAACAAAGCTGAAAGATAGTAAGAACTGCTGATGCTGGAGTCTGAGATAACACAGTGTGGAGCTCGAGGAATACAGCAGGCCAGACAGCATCAGAGGAGCAGAAAAGCTGATGTTTCATGTCAGGACGCTTCTTCAGAAATGGGGGAGGGGGAAAGGGGCTCTGAAATAAATAGAGAGGAGGGGTGGGGCTGGGAAAGGTAGGTGGGATGGCGATAGGTGAGTGCAGGTTGGCAGTGGTGGGGATTGATCAGTGAGGTAGGAGGAGCGGACAGGTGGGAGAGAAGATGGTCAGGTTGTGTCAGGTCAAGGAAGCGGGGATGAGAGGGAGGGTTGATCATGGGATGAGGCTGGGGGTGGGGACATTTTAAAGCTAGTTAAGTCCACATTGAAACCATTGGGTTGTAGACTCCCAAGGCAGAATATGAGGTGCTGCTGCTCCTCCAGTTTCCGGGTGGCGTCATTGTGACGCTGGAGGAGGCCCAGGATGGACATGTCGTCCAGGGACTGGGAGGGGGAGTTGAAATGGTTCGCGACTGGAAGGTGTTGTCGTTTGTCGTGGACCAAGCACAGGTGTTCTACAAAGTGGTCTCCGAGCCTCCGCTTGGTCTCACCGATGTAGAGGAAGCCACATCGGGAACAGCGGATGCAATAGACCACATTAGCGGATGTGCAGGTGAACATCTGTCAAATGTGGAAGGTTTTTTTGGGTCCTGGATGGAGGTGAAGGGGGAGATGTAGGGGTAGGTGTAGCACTTCATGCGGTTGCAGGGAAAGATGCCGGGGGTGGTGGGGCTAGTGGGGAGTGTGGAACGGACGAGGGAGTCGCGGGGAGAGCTGAAAGATGTCATTTGTGCTACATTACAAATTTTAGTGTAGTATTTAGAATATTGTGTTTAGTAATATTATCATCAGTAGTAGTAGGGAAATGGCATTAGGGACATTCATGGATAAAAGGCCTATAAAACCCCAGGGTCTGATAATCTACAAATTGAGTACATAAGGAAGTGGCCCCAGAAATAATCTATGTATTGGTCGTCAGCTTTCAAAATTTCACTCTGGAACAATTCTTATGGATTGGGTGGTTGCTAATGTACCCCAGTTTTTAAAAAAAAGAGGGACTGAGAAAGCAGTGAATTATAGACTGGTTAGCCTGGCATCAATAGTGCGGAAAATGTTAGTGTTCATTATAAAAGATTTAATATCAGCGTACTTAGAAAACAATGACAGGAACGGACAAATCAGCAACGATTTAGGGAAGGAAAATCTTGCTTGACAAAGTGACTAGAATTTTTCAAAGATGTAACTAATATTTTTGATAGGGGAGAGCCAGTGGATGTGGTTCACTTGGACTTTTGAAGGCTTTCAATAAGGTCCCAGATAAGAAATTAGCAATTAAAATTAAAGCACATGGGACTGGGTATATGTACTGACAGAGTAGGAAACAGTAGCAAAACACAAAATTCAGTCTTTTTCTGACTGGCAGGCAGTAACTAATGGGATAGTAGGGATCAGTGCTTGGACCCCAGCTATTCACAATATATATTAATGATTTAGGTTAGGAATTATATGTAAGAACTCCAAATTTGCAGGTGATACACAAAGCTGGGTGGGATGGTGAGCTTTGAGGAGGATGCGGAGATACTTCAGTCTGATTTGGACCAGTTGAATGGCAGATGAAGTATAATGTAGATAAAGGTGAGGTTATTCACTTTGGTAGTATAAATAGGAAGGCAGATTAATATCTGAATGGTGATAAATGGGGAAAAGGAGACGCAACAAAACCTGGATGACCTTGACACCAGTTGCTGAAAGCAAGCAATTAGGTGCAGCAGGCAGTGAAGGATGCAAATTGTGTGTTGGCCTTCATAATGAGAGGATTTGAGCACAGGATAAGGGATGTTTTGTTGCAACTGTACACAGCCTTAGAAAGATTACACCTGGAGTATTGTGTGCAGATTTGGTTCATCTCATCTCAGAAAGGATATTCTGGCTATGGCATGACTGCGAACGTATACCTGACTGATTCCTAGGCTGGCAGATCTGACATAGAGAGATTAGATCAGTTAAAAATGTATTCACTGAAGTTTAGCAGAATGAGGGAGAATCTCAGAAAACTACATAATTCTAACAGGATTAGACAAAGTGAATATACGAAAGATGTTCCGTTGACCAGAAAACCCAGAACTGGGGTCACAGCCTACCACTCAGGAGCGAGATATGGAGAATGTTCTTCACCTAGAGAGTGGTAAGCCTATGGAATTCTCTTCCACATAAAATACTTGGGGGCTGTTTTCAAGATGGAGTTAGACAAAGCTCTTAGTGCTAAAGGGATCAAAGGGTATGTGGAAAAAGAGGGAAAAGGATACTGAGTTGGATGGTGAGCCATGATCACATTCAATTGCAGAGCAGGGTCGAAGGGCTGAATGTTCTACTCCTGTTCCTATTTTTTAAAGAAAGTAACAAAATTATAAAATGTACTGAGTAATAATCAGCCAGTTTTTGGTGAAGTACTAATACCTGAACAATGCACATTAATAATGTGGAAATCTTCCAACATATCATGATGAGGAAAAGGAACCACAAATTACAAATCACAAGTTTCTGGCTCATTTGTATGATTCCAATTTAGTTTTGTGAAAATGGCATCTCATGTTCAAACACCCCATCATTTTCATAAAGGTGTTGTATTTGCATATTAACTTTGTGTCAGGAGTATAAAAAGACAATGAAGTCTTCTGATTAGCAACTCTACTCTTACTTTGACATTGAATGACTGTCAAACTTGCTTGCTCATATTGAACGATTGTAAGTATTGGGTCACATTCTATGAGGTAATGAATTGCTTCAGGCAATCCTAAATTTGTCCCATTTTCACTCATGTCTCCTGGTCTACTTGCCATGCTGTTAAACAGTCACACTTCCAATAACTTTGAGAAATTTTGTTTATTTTCAAAAAAAAGCCTAACTTGCACAAACAAATCTATAGAACAGAGTACATTTCACAATGATGCACTCTAACAAAATTTTCCTCCATCTATCACCGAGTTATATCAACAGTGCCGAAAATTTAATTCAATGGTATTTGAATTCTGAATTCAATTTGGTTAATCTGTTTGAATTTTAACAATTTAGAACTGGCTAACAAGTCCCAATTTCACCTTTTGCAGGCTTTGGCATATTACACGGAAGTCTTGAAAGAAAAAGATACACAACTCCAGAGAGCTGCTTGCATAGCACTTAAAGAACTGAAGGCAAGTTAGGGTCTTGTACATTTGGTGTTTCCATTGATGGGACCAAAATATATTTGAAACTGTTTCAAAGAATTTTTTAAAAAGTACCTATACCCATTAGTAATTTTGTAATTTTATACACCTATTAAGATATTTCCATTTGCAGTAGTGTTGACTAAATGAAAGGAAATACAAATCATAAGTTTTTAAAGTAGACAAGGTGGACTGATAAGCAGAAAAAAATATTTTGTTTCAAACAATAATGTTTCATTTTATCCATTTCAGTATTATGTTTCAGAAAGATCAATATTTTGTGAAAATAAAGAAACCTTTCATTAGTTGGAGTCATAAAAATAATTATATTCATCTTCATTAGAAGGAAAGACAGTGCAAAAATACTGCCAGGGACAAATATTTACTTAACTGTTAAATTGCACTGCTATTGGGTCATCTTTGAAATGTAGATCTTTAATCTGATCAATCTGGAGATAATTTGAAATACTATAGACCTAGACTTTCTAAACTTGGAGGTGGTGATGGCAATATCTGGGAGGGCAGTTCTTGCACTGATTATAACTGCTAACCTTGGTTGCATTTCCAACTGTGATGACTTGGATGAGGCAAACTGGTTCTCTTGCAATGCATACCTGATTGAGGGCAGTGACGTCCTTTAGCAAGCCATGGCCAGCCTACTGTATGGCAACAAGGAAGCAAAGGTTGAACTGCCTGAAGCTTTTTTTTTTGGTAGACTAATATTGAGAGAACTTGTGCAAGTTCCTCTTTTTTTGCCCCAACTAGCACTTCAAATTTTGCATAGTGGACTCTGAGGCTCACTGGTGAAGTCAAGTTTCCCTCACCATCATGCAATTTTGTTAGACATAAGTAGAAAGGGAACCGAGAAGGGAATGCAGCACTTTGTGCATGCCTCCATACTTCTATTAGCCTTCTCTAGTAGAAACCGATAAGATGCAGCTAGAAAGCAGAGACCATGATGCCTAAAATTTAATACCTGTGAAGTGAAAATATCTTTTCATGCCAAGAAATATTGGCATAGATTTCTGATCTGTATCTAACAAAATATTAACACTTACCTTTAGTTCAGCTCTCGCCTCAAATTTCCTATCCAGGAGCCTTCGCTTCTGAAATACTACAGAGGAATCCAGTAAATATGGTTTTCTATGATTTCAAGGTTCTGCAGCCACTTTGAACTGGAGAAGATGTGTGTGTAAGGTGGCAGTTGGGTCAGTAGGGTGGCAGGTAGTGGATAAATGCTTACGGTAGGTTCAGCGTGAGGTTGGAGCGAGTGGGGTGGGGGGTGAACAGAACAGTGCCAAGTCTGGCGAAGTCACCACTTTTAGGGGGTGGCATGGTGGGAATGTTGGTGCAGCCAGCGAGCTCTGAACAGGAGGGGGTCATCAGGACCACTGTAGTTAGTGCGAAGTCAGGGCGATTGTGGTAGGGTGGTAGTATGCGGAGGTGAGAAATCATGTTGAGTGTGGGAGAGTGGAGTTCAATAACGACCCAGGAATTAGAGCATGTTTTAAATTCTCTATGCTTTCCTGAATAACTAACTATTAAGCTCATGTCAAACTGAACCTTCCAAAATCTGACTTTTAACTCAGAGTTGGGGACATTTCTTTGTTTTTTTTTTAAAATGTTCCAGGTGCCAGGTCATTGCCTCAAAATGTCAACTCCTCAGCACTTCATTTAGGTGACAGCTGCATTGAGATTTTCCACTTTGTCTTAATGTGTAACTCTAATCTGTGCTGCTGCAATGTCTACTTCCCCATTGGAATTTTTGGGCCACTGACACTAGCCATTCCTGGTTTCGTGCTCAAGTCCATCTCTCAACTCTACTCCAAATGTTTAAATAATCTCCCCACGTTCCATATTTTCGTCAGAAGGTTACATGTCTATGTATTCTAAGCAGCTTGCTTCATCAAACAGTTTAAGCCTTGTGATATGGAGCTAAATAAGCAGTGGAACCCGAGCGTCTATATGCACCAGTTGCTGAAGGTAAGCATGTAGGTGCAGCAGGTGGTAAAGAAGGTAAATGGTATATTGGCCTTCCTTGTGAGAGGTTTCGAGTACAGGTGCGGGGATGTGTTGTTGCAGTTGTACAGGGCCTTGGTGAGACCACATCTGGAATATTGTGCACAGTTTTGGTCTCCTTTTCTGCGGATGGAGTGACTGACGTATGAGGAGAGATTGACTAGGTTAGGATTGTTTTCATTGGAGTTCAGACAAATGAGGAGGGAATGTCATAGACACTTATAAAATTCTAATAGGACTAGACAGGGTAGATGTAGGGAGGATGTTCCCAATGGTGGGTGTGTCCAGAACCAGGGATCACAGTATGAGGATTCGGGGTAGACTATTTAGGACAGAGATGAGGAGACATTTCTTCACCCAAAGAGTGGTGAGCCTGTGGAATTCATTACCACAGGAAGTAGTTGATGCCAAAACATTGAATGTATTTGAGAGGCGGCTAGATATAGCATTTGGGACGAACGGGATCAAAGGTTATGGGGAGAAAGCAGGATTAGGCTATTGAGTTGAATGATCAACTACGATCATGACGAATGGTGGTGCAGGCTCAGAGGGCCAAACAGCCTCCTCCTGCTCCTAACTTCTATGTTTCTAAATCAATACACTAGAACTTTCAATCTCTTTGTGTATTTGTATCTCTAGTGTTGCGTGACTTTATTGACCATCTGTTAATAAACCTGGTAAATAGTTTCAGCCTGGGCAATACAGTGTACAAATGAGCATGGTGGGCAGCTCATGAAAGTCACTGCATTATTGCAAATGCAAAAAAGGAGTTGGGAGATGCTCAGGTTGCAACAGAACCATATAAATGTTTTAAAGCAAATTTAAAGATTGTATCTAATGGGATCTCAATTTGTTCTTCCTTCAAGGCTGTGGAAAGCACTGAACAGATTGCCAGCTTGTGCCACTCTCAAATAGTGAATGTGCGCGAAACAGCAAAAGAAACCCTCCAGTCTTTTGGTAATGATTATGTTGAAAAAAAAATCACCTTTCTTCTCACCAATTTGTTATCCCCCTTATGGAGTATGTTTCAAAAAGTACAGTTACACACGTTACCTCCTCTAAGTGGTTACTATTCCACAAGTTAATCCTGACACCAAATCTTAGTGGTCTATTCTATTTAGGACGTATCACCAATGAGCCTAACCGCTTTACACACAAAATCTGCACAAACCAGGACAGCTGGCTAGATGAGGATTTGGAGCAAGAAACAAGGCCAGTTTTTTTTTTTCTTGTTTAACTCAGGACCACAGAAATTATACACTGCTGCCCTAGTCAATAACTTTACATACCTGGGGATCAAACCTACCACTCTGGATGACTAAACTACTCTTGAGATTTACAGTGTTGATGAAGCCACAAATTTATTTTTTCTCAATATTTCTGAATGGCATAGTTTGTACTCTTAAATCAGTCCAGCAGTAAAGTGACTAGTTAAAATGTTCACGAGAGAAATCTCCCGCGAATATTGTCATTCCCACTGAGCTTTTGTTGTAATGTTTAAAAGTACATAATGGTACAAGATTTGCAAATGGAGACTCAACATCCTCTGGAACAGTCTGTCACATGTAAGCCATTTTGTGTGTAAATCCAATAAGATAACCAAAATGAAAAACTAGTATAATTTATATAAATGCAATTCTTGTGTTGTACATCTTTTTCCATATTTCACAAATATAACTACTTTGAAATGTCGCACTGCTTGGTTTTGGAGGAGGTGCAATTTCCTCCAGCCAAACATTGGGAACATAATACAGTATTCATTGGAGACAAGAAAAATGAGAAGGGGTCTCATTTAAACAAAATTCGGTCAGGGCTGGGCAGACTGGATACAAGGTTGATGTTTCCCCTGTGAGAGATCTAGATCAAGGGGTCACAGTCTCAGGATACAGGTAAACAATTTAGGACAGAGGAGGAGAAATTTCTTCACTACGAGGGTTATGTACTGTATGGAATTCTCTACCACAAGTCTGTGGAGGTCAAATCACTAAACATGTTTACAAAGAAAGATATAGATTTCTTGTTACTAAAGGCATTAAGGGGTATTGTGAGAAAGCAGGAGCCTGGTATTGAGACAGATGATCAGCTATGATCAGACAGAATAGTGGAGAAGGCTGGCCAACCCTATCCAAATTTTACATGATGGACTGAAAGGTCGACTTCTGCTCTTGTTTTCTGTGCTGCCAATTGTTTAAAAACCATCACCTTTGACTCCTCATTCCCAGCCACTGCCTCAGGCTAAACTAGATTGCTCTTAACCAGTGACTAATGAACTCCAAACTTAATTGCAAATACCCATCTAAAAAGCTTCCTATTTCCATCTTAATATCATTTACCATTGATACCTTACCCATGCTTATCACACACAAATTGAACAATTACTCTAAAGTACCTACTAACTATACTTAATAGCACTAAAGTATTACTCTATTGCTAACTATTTACAATGGAGAAAATCAGCAACATTCTCTTGAACTGACAGATGTTAATCAATGAAATGAATTAGTAAGACTAATGAAATATCTACCAAAAACTACATCTTATTGTTCAACTTGTGGAGCTTTGTTACACTTTAGATTTAGATTACCATTCATTTCATTGTGCAGGTGAGAAAGGTCGTTTGGCTTTTGAGAAGGTGGATATGCTATGGTATGAAGAAGGCATGAACCAAAATTCAACTACTGAAATTACTATTCTCTGAATGTTTTACTGTTCTTTTTCGAAACTAATAACAACAGATGTCTGTAGATAATGTGCTTGTGTTCAGTAATTTTACTTACATCATGTTCATATTGTATAAAGATTTTCAAAGTGCAACTTTTTTTTCCTGACTTATACAAGTGGTTATTCGATATTAGTGTGCAATAAAGTGGTAAGATTTCGGTCACTGATTTGTACCAAGTAGCTGCACTGTACTTTTTAAAATTGTTAAACTTGCAAATATTATTTAGACATGTAAAATACATTTGTTTCTTCATAAATTCCATTATTAAACTGGGTAATCCCAAATCTTAACATACTGAAGTTCAGAATGCGTCAGTTGAGTAGAAAATACAAAAGGAAAAGGAAACACATACACATTACCTAAATGTATCATTTGTTCAATTGTAAATTTTTGGAATTCACAATAAAACTGACAAACAAAATCTTCAATTTGAAAAAGGAGAAAATTCAGACTTCCAAAACCAGTCCTTTGTTACTTTAAAGTTGGAACTCAAAACAAAATATTTAGTTGGAGCATTGACAGTGTTAAAATACGGGGTTGTCACTTAAACAATCATCCTTCTTCGAGGTTTCAGTAGAGCACAAAGATGTCACTTTTGTGTTGAGGGGACTGTGCAAGAAATGTCTGATGCACAGATGTTGGAATGAACTCAGAGGCTCTACTTTCATGAGTAAAACTGTCACTCGACGTTTTCTCCTGCATTAGGTGGATGACCCTGCAAGTCAAAGCTCCAACATTAGCTGAGCAAGGGCAACATTGTTTTGTGGTGCTTTGACGGGGTAAATTGCACGATATGAACAAGTTAGAGTCCACCAGTATATTTGCAGAGGCTTGAACAGAGATCTCCTAAAGCTCAACACTTACCAAACTGAACCCAAGCTCTTAGAGTTTACTGGGCAAGACCCACAACTCTACAGCAGCCGAGAGTTTGGTTTGGAGATTCCCACGTGGTGATGGATGTTGACATCTAACCGTTTGAAATCTCAATGATGGATTATTTTGTAATAGGATGCAATGAGGGGAAACATACAAATAAATTGCCATAGGCATTTATTGTTTATTTAGAACAAATGAAAAATAGGATAAGCCACCATGCTATGGTGATCCAATACATTACAATAAAGTTATTTATCACTCAGAATCAATATCACACGTGGTGTTCTTCATTCCTGTACTGCTTAAAAATGTTATTTCAGAATTTTCCTTAGTCGTTTGCCACAAACAGTATCAAAGTACAGAAATATAGTAGGCAGCCAGGCCCAGACACCACCCATCACATTCCTGGCAGTGGGGAGATTTACCAGCAATGGGCAAGGTGATGGATTGACTACTCATGAAATGGAAACAAACAGCCAACTGACATATTTAAGGCTCCTATTAATGAGGATGCAATAGGGGCTGCTAACATTTTGTCATCTGCACATGGAAAATACCTGCTCTATGGAACTGACAGTCCAAGGGACTACAGGAAGCCATCATGGGGGTTTCCATTGGATCAGTGGGGTCTGCTACTTGGTTTCTCTGATTTTCATTTTAAGTTTACCTCTCCCAAGATGTCTTCATGTTGAGACTTTTAAAAATTTATTCATTTGTGTGTTGTGGGCATCGCTAGCTGGACCAGTATTTATTGTCCATTCCCAGGTGCCCAGAGGGCAGTTAAGAGTCAACCACATTGCTGTGGGTCTGGAGTCACGTGTAGGCCAGACCAGGTAAGGATAGCAGATTTCCATCCCTAAAGGACATTAGTGAACCAGATGAGTTTTTTCCTGACAATCCGTAATGGTTTCATGGTCATCGTTTGACCCTTAATTCCAGATAATTATTGAATTCAAATTCCACCATCTGCTATGGCGGGATTCAAATCCAGGTCCTCAGAACATTACCTGGGTCTCTGGATTAATAATCTAGTGCTAATGCCATTAGGCCATTGCTTTCCTATTTGTCTCAAACCTGCCTGCCCCAGCAGCAACAACTTCCCAGTAAGACTGTCAAGGTTTGGAGATGGCTAATTTGCCACCCTTTTGGAATATCCTGGTGCTGGTCACCAATTGTGGAATTGGGATACCTATTTAGTACCGACTGCAGAGCTCCAAAGTCCACAGGAAATTCAGCTCAAATAAGGGCAAACGGACACATCCCTGAAAGGAGAACTCTGGGCAATCCAAGTCAGAGAGAAAGAGAACTTTGTGAAATATATATCCATTAACAAAATAGACCACATCATTGGTGGGCCATATTGCATTTATTCTCATTAATTAATCTTCCAAACTCAATATGGTTGTATAAAATTGGGTAGATGGAAAGTTTAGTAGCAAAACACCAAATATCATGCAGCTTCCTAGGCTAATTTTGCAGCAGAAGTTAGGACAATGGCTAAAGACAACTGTTCTGATGTTTGAGATAACAAGGTGTAGAGCTGGATGAACACAGCAGACCAAGCAGCATCAGAGGAGCAGGAAGGCTGACGTTTCGGGCCTAGACCCTTCTTCAGAAATTCTGAA